AATTTTGTCACAACTCTTTTTTTTTATATTGGAAGGCTTTGCTTTGGATTTTTTTTTTTTTCTCACGCTGCTTTCATTGCTTTATTGTGAAGGACAAGATGAGCAATTGCTGTTGAAAGCTCTGCAGAGATGTGACATTTTTCTTTCTGCCCAGTAGTCCAGAATCCATGCGAAGAAAAGCTTTCTGGCCCTGAAGCAATGCATGTTGCCCTACTAAAGCAATTCCTTTCCCAGCCAGCTTGATAGGATAACATAGACTTCAAACTGTTTATTACATTTAACAAAATATCTTCAGTCATGAAGTGTTAAGTAGCCAAACCTTGAGCTTCAATGGCTCTGATCCTGCCCGGAGCGCCTGTCCCAGCCTCCTGCCTGAAGAAAGTATGGAAACCTTGCAGACCTGGTCCCAGAGCTGGTACCCAGTGGGATGTCCTTCCCAAGCCCACCAGCTGCCCTAGGATGCCACTGCTGTTAGGGCAGCACTCTTGTTTCTGCAGCAAGGGCTGCTACAAGGGCTGAGCCGAGTACCAAATTGGGACCAGGGCTAAGAGCTTACTCTAGTAGTTTCTCCCTTTCCACCAGTTGCACCATCACAGCTCACAGGCACAGAAACACATGCTACTTGTAAAGCAAGAAGCAGCAGAAGGCTCCATCCAAACACAGACCCCAGTCTGCAACCGAGGAAAGCCAGCCACCTCTGCGGCCAAGACATTCCCCCTTGGTTGCGTCTGGAGAAAGCGAGCAGTGCCTGTCTGACAGCCACAGGAAATGCACCCAGGTCCCCACAGCCCGTCTTCCTTTCTGCTGGGACGGAGGCCTGAGCGACGCTTGGACCGGGATTTTCACAGCCACCAGTAGGATCTGGACCCTTAACTCTCATTATGTCAAATAAAAATTAGTGCTGATGGCACCTGGCTAACCCCAATTTCTTTCACCTCTCCTCCTCCTCCACCAAAGCTGTCCAGCATTCTTAGGTAAATTATAAGGCTCAGTTAATACGGATATTTTACAATTATGATTGGGAACGTGCTCATTACTGGTTTATTACTTTTCTTTTCTGGTTATGTTTTTTGCTCTCACATCTGATAGACACCTTCAAACTCATTTTCTTACTATTACGGTTCAACCTAGTAATGCATACAAGGCAAAAACAATAGCCCACAACCCTACGTACTTCTGATATGGAAACAATTTCTTTTCTTTTTTAAAGAACCATACAGATTCTGTCAGGAAAGCAGGCACAGCCAAGCCACACGTATTACATTTTATTTAAATTTTATAAAACTACGTATCTAGCAAGGGACTGACAGAGAGTGTAGAAGAAAAAAATGATCAGGTCAAATTGAAAACTGTATTTTTAAGTTCAATTCTTTTCATTTCCACCCTGCTTTTTATACCTTCTTTCAGAGCTCATAAATCCCTAGAGGTAAAGATCAATGCCTTGCAGAATTCAGATAGAGAGGCATCAGCTCCACTGAAAAGACCTGCCCTCATGCAGCCTTCCAGAAGTTCAGTGCACACTATTTATCTTTCACTCCAGTAATCCACACAGTATTGCACTTCCGAGTTACAAAACCTTGAATACTCTGAAACTGCAAACCAAACTGAACGTAAGCAGTATATTAAGGGGAAGGCACCGCCAACAATTCCAAGTGCATAATATTCTCAGCCTACTGAACCACATGTTAATATGCTGCACGTGCTATTCTGCATATTTTTACCGTGTACGCTTACAGCTATATGTTTCCTCCACTTTCCAATGCAATATATTTTAATACAAAATCAATGTGTGTTTTTGGTGGGCAGCGGAAAGGTTTTATCCACTCAGCTCTGAATCTAAGAAGAAAGCAGTATTGATTTAGATGTTCACTCATTCATTTACTAGGACAGTTTTAAAGCATTAGGTGATAACCTAATTGAGAAGCACACTGTGAGGGAAACTGAGATTGTTGTGATAAATTAAATCAGCTCTGGGTTGTCATCTACAATACTTTAATATTTGAAGGAACGTTCTCCCCAAAAGATTAAACCAGGCAACAAGCATCTTGGGTGGCAGTGTGGCTTTCTATAAATGCCAGGTAACGCAATCTGATTAAAATATGCACAGATAAATAAATTGCTTATTATAGAAACATAACATTAATGCAACACATATTCTGTATGTGACTTTATATGTGCCAGAATATCAGACAATGTATGTATTAATCAGACTGGCTTCCATTTCCTACTACAAACTGATTATGAACCAATCAAGGGTGTGAATCTTTTGCCATCTATCTGCTTTCTCTAAAAATCTTGGCATCACACAGCATCCACACTGATATTATTTGTTCATATTTATTTTTACAGAAGTCAATCAAGTTACACACGTCACCAAATAGTGTTACGACTGCTGCATACCAAATCATGCTTGCATTTCTCAGGTACACACTTCCCTGAGGCCAGAAGGATTTGGTCTCACATCTGGGTCTCACGTCTAGAGGAGTCTGTTCTGCATTCTCTTATGTAGGCACAAAGAAAATGCTGATCCATCTGCCATGGATTTGGACGGCTGATGAATCAGGCCCAAAGTCCCCCAAACTTCTCCAGTTACTGCCGTCATTAGCTGCAAGCAGCTTAGATGACTCTGCTTAATGCTCAACACATATTCTTCGCAGAGTGGGGCCAGCCAAAGAGAACATAAGCAGCGCTGGATGCACCAGCAGTAATAGCATTAGCAGAATCCAGGGAAATCTGAAATTCCTTCCTAATGCGGGATGCAAGCCGGTAAGGTACTAAGCACCCTCATTTTAGACTTTTTAAAAAAGTCACCAGAGTATGCGAAGTCTCATGCTTTGAGCACGAAGCAAAGTGAAATAGTTGATAGTAAGAACAAACATGCCTGTAATACAGATGATTCAGAATTAAAATTCATGACCTTACATGTAAGAAATAATTTTGCTCTGAGTATTTCCTACATTTTTTCCATTTTTGTTCATGCGGAGTATGGTGAATAGATTCGTATTCTTCAAAGCAGTGGCTAAATGAAGAGGCTTTTTACATTACATGTGTGCTGAAACAGAACCAAAGTATAAAACTAGAATATAGAACATTAAAAAAAACCACCCTGCATTTGAAAAGAAGAAAGGTCCTGGAGCTCCGAATTACGCCTCTTGCTCTTAAGAGTTAATGCATGTAGATTTTTTCCATCTCTGGAAGAGTGACAGAAAGCCCCTGAGAAGCAAAGGCGCTGCTTGTTCGCTATACAGTGTTTTGGAACCGATAGCAATTTCTGTCTGAAAGAACCGTGCCTTCATACGTTAGATTTAGGGACAAAACCTGCTTATCCAGATTAAAAAGTAATTTGTATTAATGTACAGTTTCAGCTATTAAAGCACAGAATTCTCACCATATGCACCAATAATTTAATCTTGTTCTTAAGTAGTCTCACACTTCCAGTAAAAAAAAAAGGCAGGGGGTGCGGGGGTAGAGTAAACTACAGAACCTTTAGTCCCCAAAACAGATGCCAGTTTTCGATTTATTCAGCCAAGGAGTATTTAGCTTGGCTCAGCTATGCTTGCGTTGAAAAAACACTTGCCTATTCCAAAAAGTTTTTAACAAGCTTTGCTGCAGATGCTGTTGCCATTTGGCATGTCACCGTCACTGTGTGGTACAGAAGAGAGAGAACTCTTGACCACAGGTTTTCCTTGGCCAGGGGAGACAGCGTTTTTGGCTATCGCTCTTCTTCTGGCCAACTGGCTTGCGTGTTTACGGAGTGTGGTTTTAGACGGGGTGTTAACAGAGGTTGGGTTAACAGCCTAACCCAGACCAACAGTGAGGCGAAGGCATGACCTACCCAATCTAAGAAAACAGAGATAGAATAAGCTCATATATGTTGTTGCTCTTAACCCACAGTCTCTTGCATGCACCATACCTATAGACAAGAAGATATTTTTCTTTGCCTCAGGATAGATGACAACAACTTTAAAAGCTGTACCAGTCATGCAAAGTAGAAATATATAAAAACATGTGGTTGCTTAATCTTTGCCGGCTTGATTTCATTCTCTCACTCAGGACAATTTTACCTTGGCAAAATGCCACTGAAAGAAGTTCAATGAAGTTACTCCTGTTTTCCACTATGATGAGATATCTTAAGAGGATAAAAACTCTACAGAGTTAAACTGCAAACTTCTGTCCTTGTATTTCCACTTGCCAGCAAATGGCAGTTCTGAAACTGAAAAAGCCTAAGTGTTTCTAAATCGACGAACTTGGTTCCAGGGATATTAGTGCCGAATACCTTCATGAGAGTGCATGTAAAGCCAGGGAAAACTTATAAATGCCCACTTGTTGTTTAGTTTACCTACATTAATCTTATACCCATACATACGCCTGAGAAGCCTTGACCTTGTAAGACATACAACAACTTTAAAAAACACTGTGACATTTGACTCGTATAAATAAATTATTTTTGTCCAAATTCTGACTCTTCTTTTTGACGGCAACACCTTTGTTGCACTAAAGCAAAGAAAATATCCCAGTTTTATATACATTGCTCAGTCTGCTTTTCTAACGCTGCCATTACCTTGACACACCATGTGCCTATCCAGAAAAAACAAAGACTATGTACACTCCCTCCAATATCAGACACTTTTTACTTCACTCTGTGTTAACTGACAATTTTCTTTAAGCCGAATTGTGGAGCACAGACACCATGAGAGAACCGGCCAGACCATTTGCTTAAATTCCACTAATCTGCACAAAAATCCCGTTTAACACAGTACGGATCAGATAGCCCACCCTTCACTTCAGTTCTCTCTCACCGAGAGTTCAGCTAGGACTAGGAACATCTTGAAAGTTCATAGACACAAAGGCAATTTACTGCAGCGTATTAAAAAAGAGTATAACATATGACTAAGAATGAAGTAAGCAGTGTCTGGCTACATCCCCCACTGTCTGGGTAACCAGTCCACAAGAGCAATATAAGAAAAGAAAATAATTTTTTTTTAACTTTCTCTTTTTACCATTTTGGCTTCTGAATGCATTGGGGGGACTTGAGGTGAAGCGCACGGATTATTGAGGTTCGGCCCCTGCATCCCCATGATGTTGGAGTTCATTGACATTTGTCGCTCCATCTGTTAAAAGAAAAAGAAAAAAAAAAAAAGGTTTGAAAATGTCTGGAGACATTTGCAAGAATTTACACTTGGTTTCTATTTAAATGGACTCAGCTTTATTTCTTCAAGTCATGACTGGAAAAATAACAATCTGTGTTGTGAATTGCATGTGTGTATGCACATAGGCGTGCGTTTCATCAGAATCGGCCCTGAAAACTCACAGCCAATTATAAAGAAAAGGGTTCTTTACTAAACAAATGTAGCAGCCACCCAGGTTTGCGCTTTTTTGTAATGATTTTCTCCCTTTCAGTATAACAACACTCGGAGTTAAGTGGTTTTAAAAGCATTACTGTATAAAGTTGTGGCTTCCCCTGTCAGTGCAGCCCAACTTAGCTTGTTAAAAACATAAATAAAAATCTACAATCCCGAGTATATGGAAAATGAGTTGGCTCTTTTTCCTTCACTCGGACTGCTCAGCTGAGAAGAGTTTTCCATATGTCTTGTAAGGGAAGCTTTCATGTACTGCTGAGATAGCAAAAACCAAAGCCGAACTCCTCCTGGCTATGCAGAGCCCTTTCTGCAAGCTAATCTCATAAGGCTGGGAGGGAGGGATACCATTTTCAAACAAAACCTAATGGCAGTAAGGCTTGGATAAAATAATTTCTTGGCGTTTCTTCCCTGAGAAGAGCAAGGCCTGTTACACCACTCGTCATTGCTAGGGGTGGTAAGTAGGGTTATGGTGCTGCTTTCAGCCGGAGCTGAGCATCCTGCCTTGCTTCGGGCCGGCCCCCTGAATCTTTGGCTCACACAAGAAAGAAGTCCTTTTGGATCCTCCTGAGCTCTTCCAGCTATTTTTTGTGCCCTGTGGTGAGGTGGTGACTCCCCACCCTCCATGATCCCAAGCAAGAGTGGGTGCTGGGCCCGGGGGAGAGGACAACATCCCACTGCCTGCTGGTGGGGAGAAGCTGCCTTCACCAGGGCCCCTCACCCTCTCCATGGGACGAAAGCAGCTCCCACCGCCACGTCCTCCACAGCCCTTTCAGGAGGGTCAGGGGGGAAGGAGCTGTGGCCGGGGCAGCCAGGGCTGAAAGGGTCTGTCTCGCCTCCACACTCACGTCTCCGGGGCTCTCAGCCAGAGCACACCTGCTTGTCTGCAAGCAGAGCTGCCCAAAGGGCTCCCCAGCAGCAACCCAAAGGCCCTGAGCTTACACTGAAGCAGGATGTTTGCTCCATTTCAGGTTCCTTAGGAAACATGCCAGAAAAAAAACCTGCCCACAGTGACATGTCTAATATTTTTTTTTGTTGAACTTCCTGGTCGATACTCCAGGAGACCCTTATTGATAAGTTATTAACTAATAACTTATTAATGGCTGCTCAAATAGCAGCCAAACCTGAATCACTGTAGCCCTGTGAAACATCCCCCTTGCTCCAGCAGAGCCAGAACAAGCAGTGCTTTCTTCCCTCCCATGGTCAATCGCTCTCAGGTTGCCTTCCAAACATCATTCAATGAAACAGAAACTTCTCCTTTCCCAATCCCCTCTTTCCCATGGCATCTGTACTCATCTCCACCTCTTATTTACCTTATAGCTAAATGGTCGTTCAAATCAGTTAAGAATTTGGAGCCACAACTGCAAATTGCACCCCGTTTGTCCCAGAAGATGGGGAATACTCCCAACTCTGCAGAAATGAGTGGAAGATGAGCAGCGATCATGACCAAATTCTAATTAAGGGCTGGAAAAGTAAGTCACATTTGTTTCTTGTTAGCTGATTATCTCCCACAAACAAGAGGATTACTTAGAGTTCACTGGCATAACTTATGTACGTGGCTTTTCCAGTTTTGTCTGACTTGAGAAAAATCCTTTTGTTCCAGCATACTGATCTCACCTACATGACCAACTGTGAGAACCAGAAATTGTACTCTCATGTAAACTGTTTTTAATCACTCTCACACTAATTAAAATACCATTAACTGCACCAGAAATACTCTTGTGTAAGATGAAGCAGTGAAAAAGATCCAGCTTCCTTAACTCATTACACTTTGGTTATTTTAGAAAATCCAGCAGCCTTTCACCTCTGCATAGGTTGAATCGAGCAAATAAGCAACGTTCCTCCCCCACCAAAAAATCCCAAACCAAAAAACTTACAGGCATGAGTACAGCAGAAGATCCAGGCATGGTAGGGTTGGGCAGGGTGCCAGGCATGGAGGCAGGCATAGGCTGTCTTTGTCGGTTGTGTAGGTGCAGTAGTGAAGACAGAGAACCTGGGACAGGCCTAGGAGAAAAGGAAAGAAAGCTGTCATGGGCTACGGAGACCAAAACAAGCCTTACCGTGCCAGCCATTGCTAAGGCACAGGCAACTCTAGACAAGCAGGCGCAGATAAGCCAATCCAGCATTTGTCCTCTCCTGCATAAATCAGTAGAACAGAAAGTTTTCAAGAAACAGATGAATCACCATCCCTCTATTCATCAGTTAAAGCTATTTATCAGTTAAAGCACCGGTATAGTTCATCTGATAGAACATGCATGTAAACCTAACAGCCAGTCTCGCTCTATGCACCTCTGCCTCTTACAGAGGCCAGCAAAAGATTTCTACAAAGCAGGGAAATTTCCTGGCATGCCACATCAGTGCATTGCTATAAATTCAGCCCTTGGGAACAAAAATATCTTGATGATAGTTTTCCAGACTATGACAGAAAATTAAACAATCTTAAATTAATTTTGAAATGTTATCACCTGTAAATAAACTATTCTAAAATGAGTATTTCATCTCACTCTTGATACTCTCCCCCGTGAAACTCTACCAATCTTTTGTTCCAAAGCGAGGTTCCTGATTTTACCAGTTAGCACGTCACTAGGGCACAGAAAATGGGAAAAAAAAAGAAAGAAAATTAGTGAAATTACATTCAGATTAAGTAGCTTGTAAAGGCAAAAATTACAGACTATAAAAAAGCAGAGTGAGTTATTTTGGCAAAAGGAGTTCAAAAGATTTAGAAGGATTTTTCTAAGTACAGCAGAGGGAAAAGACTGCATGTGAGAAAGCAGGCCCACTCACAAAGAACAATCATAAAATTAATGCATTAAACAAAGCTGGGACTACTTTTTGAAAATAGCCTTTAAGAATGTGGTCTTCGGAGTTAGTTAAATTAATCAGCTTGTTGTTTTTTTTTAATTTTGGAGGGTATGAGTTGCTTGAAGTTTGGGGTAAATATAACTTGTTACCTTTTCAAAAAGCATGAATAAGAAAGCTTTCACATACAGTGCCTCAACAAACATTGCTAGTACAAGTTCGTACATTTATTTCTCACAGAGCAGGATGCTCTGCAGTATAGTATGTGGTTTACCCTGTTTATTAGGCAGGAGAAATACCCCTAAAGGTATGAGAAGGACCAGAGAGAAGGGGGCATAGTCTGAGAGCTTGAAGAGCCTATACAGGGGGGAGCATGGAAAGAATCTAAAGACGTTTGGAGCCTCTAAACATTGAAGTTGATTTTCAGACTTGGCAGAAGCATCCTTTGCTTCAGTGATGAATCCACAGCTAGCCATGAGAGCCTCAAAATCAGGCTGGGCTGGTCAGGGAAGCAGAGTCATAACCTCAGAGCTGCAAGGGGGAAAACAGTCGCTTCTCCCACTTGGTCTGAAGCGTGTCACACCAAATGATGGGGCTTTACTTCTTGCCCCTCCAACTGTAAGTGATATTGGCAATCATGAATACATACACCCCTCCTCTAACTTTAGCTGTCACTTTCATTTATCTAACAACAAGCAAAGAGGACAAAGGCCGTAAGCAATGGGATTCACAGACATCCCATATGGAGGACACCACATCCAGGCTCCCAAAGTAGAGGTGCCTGTCTCATGCCAACACCAGCTTCTTCTAACCTACAAGCCTCAATCTTTTCTGCCCAGACCTCAAACCACCTAATCCCCTCTTCCCTAAAACTCGCCAGTATTTCCCATTCTTGGACTTTCAGTCCTTCAACCCTCCTCCCTTCAAGCCCATTCTCCCCAGAAACATTTCCGTCTCAACAAATGCCACCTCAAAGTCCTTGCCCTGCCCACTCCCTTGTGCCCAGCCATCCCTGCTCCTCCCAGCCCTCTGCCCTCAGCTGCCCTCTCTTTAGCAGCTGCACAGGACTGAACCCATCCTTTTGTCTTGGTTCTCCATGGAGAGAAAAAGCCTGTGTTTTGAAGGATAGTTTAAAAATCCTCCCAGACACACACAGTACTTATTCAGAAGGGGAAAAAAACCCCAACAAAACAACAAATGTATCTCATATACAGACAAGAAGCTCTTCCTATGCCTACGTGGTTATCTGCTGATGGAGGAATATCACAGAATCTATAGAATCATAGAATGATTTAGGTTGGAAGGGACCTTAAAGATCGTGTAGTTCCAACCCCCCTGCCATGGGCAGGGACACCTCCCACTAGACCAGGTTGCTCAAAGCCCCATCCAGTCTGGCCTTGAACACCTCAAATGATGCACTTTACATCTTCATATTCCCCCAAAGAAACTCAGGACAATGTCTCTCAAATATGTGGTATAACCCCATGAGAGGGTGCAAGAAGCACTGTGAGGGAGCATGAATCAGCTTCTGGGACAGGGCACTCTACAGTCAGCTCAGCACAAGGCCTGGGGAGTTGTGGGGGTGGTGTAACTGGAATGGATGTAGCGCAGGAAAAATGAGCTCAGAAAATACACTCACAGTACACAGCTCCTGACCCATCCTACTCTCCACTTAAAACACAGCTGCTCCATATACCAGCACTCATTCACACAAGAGGACTGACGAATCATCAGGACAGGGTCAAAATAGCACAAAAACCAGATTCAGTGATCCTTTTCAAAAAAAAAAAAAAAGTGAGGAGATACCAGGCTGAATGTGAGGAGGAGAACAATCTCAGTTTGGTTTCCAGAGGCTGTGGTGACCCCCACAAGCAGAGTCCACTTCCCACCAGCCCACCCACACCGCAGCTACAGCCCTGCAGAGCAGCAGACAACAAGCTCAAACAGGTCTTCTCCATCTCGTACTTTAAAGTCTGTGCGACAGCTACCACACGGAAGGGCTGAGACCCCCACACTGGGGGGGCTGAGGAGCAGAACAGAGTGTGCTGCAGCCCCTGCTGGAGACACACCATGGGTTTCTTCTCAGGAGAGCAGGCAGGGAGGAGTGGGCAGGAAAGGAGAAGACTCTGGTGTACTTTCATGCCTGTCCTGGGACGAAACTGGGGTGCGCACCCACCTGCCCACCAGAGCTCTGGAGCCCTGTGGGTCCACCAGCTTAGACACAGCCAATGGGAACCGCGCTGGTTAACAGGAGCAATTCATTCAATGAAACTATCACTTGAGTTTTTGGGGGGACCAAAGTAAAACAAGTACCATGACAACAAACCCCCTCCCTTTATTCATTCTGAGACTGTCCCACATACAGACCCTTTGTACAATTCACCACTTTCATAATAAGCTTAGGTGTTAGGCTGTTTGACAGAAACTTATTTTGGCCTGACCTATGTAATTTGTGCAAGTGATTCTCAAGGGACTGCATGGTTTGAGTTTTGCTTATATGTTCCAGAGCCAAAAAAATTTCCAAAATTGCTTTAATAAGTTTGGGAATATGGGACTTGGGCAAAAGGGAATTACTGGTATTTATTAAAATGGCAAAGAAGCTTCCTTGCTGTCCCCAGTTTCACCTTTAATGCTGCTTCGCTTTGGGGGTCTGCATATGCTTTACACTTAGCTAGAGGAAAAAAAAATCCTCAGTACTTCAGGTATTTTTTCTTGCTACACTCCTGCTAGTCTGTTCCCAAGCGTGTTTTTGCAAAGAGGTGAAGAGCAGTCAGAGAAACCTTGTGCTTCAAGGTTGACCCTCTTTGTCGAAAAGGCTGCACCACTCCTGCCACCAATAAAAGTGCTACATAATGCACACCAGATTCGGCTCCCCATTGGGGAAGCTGACATTGGCCAGTACTCATGGATACTTCTATTGCTTCCACATTGAATACAGGTCATCCATTAGCACGTGCTCGCACTCCCTCGCACAGAGCTCAGGGAATGTGTATGGCACAGAACCGTAACGGGCTGAGATACTCAATTTGTCTAAGACATTTCTTCTCCTTCCAAGGACAACACAATCTCTTTTGTTGTTGCTTTCTATCCTGCAGCAAAGAAAGTCAGTGAGAGTTTGTAATTGTTATTTTTAATGTTGGACACGTCAACTCTGCTCCTCTCTGTAAATGCTGAGGAGGTGCTGCCTGCAGCCTGTCAGTCAATATTGCTGACTGAGGGATTTTAATACCTTGGCACCTGTGTTGCTAAATAAATAGGGTTGTTGGGCAAACAGCCCACAAATAAAGGACAGATAAGATAGAGAACTGGCAGGTGCTCAACCTCACTGAAAATCTGGCCATCCGTGGGGTTTTTCCCAAATTTAAGAATTTTTATTGTGTTCCAGCAGGAGCCTGCTGTTGGACACGATGGAGTCTCAGTCAGCATTTGTATACTGTCTCTTTGGGCGTACGTGGCCTGGATGGTTAGCGTTACGGTGGCTTAGTAAAATACCACGTGTTAGCCAAGCTGCTGCAACTGACCACGTTGGCTCCCCTCCCTCTGCACGGTCGTGCTAACACCGTGAGTCATCCTTACTAACATTTAAACAGATGGGCGGTACCCCGCTAAGCCATGGTGACTCGATCATGTTCCATCATATGACTCTACCCAACGATTAAAGATAACTCCACTAATGTAATCAAATATCTATGCTATATACTTCGCTATGTGCCCTCTTGATTAATACCAAATCTTCTGTCTGCTATGATGCAACACCTATCTGACCCAGTTTTCTAGACTGTCTGATGACTAAACACTACATTTGTCTATTAAAAGACTAGGCTTCCCTTAACCTGTAGTCTTCAAGGACAGTTTCTGCAGATGACAATTTGCTGCTGAGGTCTGATGAGATTAGGTTCATACTGAACTAGACCATTCAGGGCTACGTGCAGAAGGACGGATGCTATTTAAAGTATCACTGCACTATGTTTTCTATTATGGTAAAGCACTGCGGGTCAGTGGGTCTTACTGTGACCTCTCTCCTGCTCGTTACTCTCCTGCACATAGCATTCATGCAAGGTCAGCAAGAACCCAGTTCGTTCTACTTTAGTTAGCTCTGGTGTGGAAAAAGTAAAGCTGCAAGTATATGGAGTTGCACTGGAGCACAGGAACTCATCTCTTGACTTTCTGTGGCCTCCAGACCCAGCCAGCTCATACAGGAGCAC